CTGCTCCACGGCATGTGGAATCTTCCCAGACCGGGGCACAAACCCGTGTACCCTGCATCGGCAGGCGGACTCAACCACTGCGCCACCAGGGAAGCCCAAGGGAGCATGGAGTTTTAACCACTGCGCCACCAGGGAAGTCCCTACAGAAACTTCTTGATTACTAAAATTCAGAATAATTCTTTGCCTAGTCTCCGTCCCCCTCCCCCTTCCCCCATTGGTTATGTTTCTTTTCCTAAGGCACATCCACATGAACTGTGTCATCCACTCCACAAATATTCATTGAACACCTACTGTGTGCTGCTTGCTGTTCTGAGTTTTGGGAACACAGACGACAGCCTCTGATATGATGGAGCTCTCAATCTAGTGGGAGAAGATGGTCCATAAAACAACAAACACAATGAACAAGCATGTTCTATTATTTTTTTAAATTTATTTTTGGCTGCGTTGGGTCTTTGTTGCTGCACGCGGGCTTTCTCTAGTTGCGGTGAGCGGGGTTTACGCTTCAGTGTGGTGCGAGGGCTTCTTCTCATTGCGGTGGCTTCTCTTGTTGCGGAGCACAGGCTCTAGGCGCGTGGGCTTCAGTAGTTTTGGCTCGTGGGCTCTAGAGTGCGGGCTCAGTAGTTGTGGCACATGGGCTTAGCTGCTCCGCGGCATGTGGGATTTTCCCGGACCAGGGCTCGAGTCTGTGTCCCCTGCATTGGCAGCCGGATTCTTAACCACTCCGCCACCAAGGAAGCCCTCTATTGTTTATTGTAGGTGATAAACTAAAGGCCAGGGTTGCGGGGCTGGAGGAAGGGTTGCAGTACTCAGTGAGGCCCTCTGGGTAGGCCAAGGTGACATTTGAGCAGTGAAGGAAGACCCGAAGCAGGCTGAGTTGGGCAGGTGTGTGGGGGAGGAGCAGGCCAGGCTGAGGGAGCAGCCTTAGGAGTTTGAGGAAGAGCCAGGAGGCCGAGCGGCACAAGTGTGAGAGAGCAGGGCAGCAGGAAGGCTTTGGGCCCCAGGCCGCTGCGAGGAGTATGCTGTCTACCTGGAGTGAGACAGAGCCACTGGAGCATTTGGGGCACAGCATGAGGTGACGTTATAACTTCTCCTGTAAGAGGGTCCCCCTTGCTGCTGTGTTGAGAGTAGACTCGGGTCCAGGATGAAGACTTGGGGTCTCACCCTCTGGGTGAGAGGAGGTGCACGTGGCTCAGCACATGGCAGTAGCAGTGGAGGCTCCCAGAGGAGGTTGGATTCTGGGTGTCCGTTGCAGGCAGAGCTGATGGGATCTGCTGAGTGGGTTGGATGTAGAAGGGTAGAGAAACAGAGGAATCAGGGACTTCCCTGGTGGTCCAGCAGCTAGGACTCCACGCTTCCACTGCAGGGGGCCTGGGTTCCAACCCTGGTTGGGGAACTAAGATTCTGTATGCCGCACAGCGTGGCCAGAGAAGAAAAGAAATAGAGGTGGCAAAGTTTATTCCTCCAGGGCCTCATCCACTAGATGGATGGAGATTGGGGAGGTCTGGAGGAAGGGCAGGAGCTAGGTTTTGGCCGAGTTAAGTTCAGGATGTTAGACAGCCACGTGGAGCTAGCTGTCAGCGAGCAGCTGGCTGGATATGTGAGTCTGGAGAGCACAGGAGAGGGCTGGGCTGCTCATACTTATTTGAGACGCCTTGACTTATAGTTTGTATTTAAAGTCCAGAGGCAAGGGACCAGGTGCAAGGACTGAGCCCTGGGACCCTCTCTTCTCAAGGAGAAGCAGCAGCCCTGAGGTCAGAGGAACACCAGGAGAGCCGTGTCCTGGAAGCCAAGGAGAGGGAGGATTTCCAGGGGGAGGGAGAGAGTTGGCCCCTTGTCAGAGACTGTGGCCTGGGCAGGTCATCTGAGACTGAGACCCCACTGTTGGAAGTCATTGGTGAGCTTGGCAAGAGAGGTTCTCTGACCAGTGGGGGAGATGGTTCTGCTATGACCCAAGAATGGCCCCTCTGGGCAGATAAATTAGAAGAAGGCAGACATGGCCTGTGCCGGGCCAGCAGAGGATGACTGACTGGCCCCCAGCCCAGCACCTGTGCATGGGGCCCAACTGGCCAGCCACAGTCAGTGCAGCGTTCCAAGCTCTTAGCCTGCAGAGCAGGGCTGGCCGTGGGCCGTGCCCCAGGTTGCCTTACCTACAGGGTACCTGTCTGCAAGGTGCTGCCACTAGAGGGCGCCCACACCCACCAGTGGATTCCACAAACCAAGGTGCCCCAGAGAGGAGCAGGGAGGGGGCTGAGAGGGGCTCAAGGAATCTGCTCGTTTCATCCACAGGAGGGGCATTTCGGTCCTTCAGAGGAGCCACCCACCTTTCCCTGTGAGGCCCAGTGTGACCCGTGACTGTTTTGTGGGTCAGGACTTGTTCTGAGTCTGTGGGTTAATCAGAGGGTTCAGTGGGGAGGGGGACGTTTTCTCAGATTACTGGAGCTGTGTCTTCTCTGCAGGGCCCTGGGCTGTGAGCAAAGACCTGCGGACTGAGCCACACCCACCCTGTTCTCCGGGGCTCAGTCTGCGGCAGGTTAGGCATGGAGGGTCCTTGCTCACCCCCTCTCACCAGTTTCCCTTTGTTCGCTTTAATTTTGTTTTTCCCCCTTCATTTTTTCTCAATTAAAAAAAAAAAAAACTCTAGAAGTAAAACATGCCTAGCAAGTAGGACAATATAGAAGGGTATAAAGTGAGGGATAACAAGGCCCCTCCCTCAAACTCCAAATATCCCCAAAGGTGGCCATGGTTATCTCCTCCAGACACTAACAGGGGAGTTTACACCTCACTGGCCCTCGCAGGCAGATGGCAGCACGCATTCTGTCCCGTTATAGCCTCTCCAGGGCTTCCTTCCACAGCGTGGTTCATCCGGCTGTGCCGCGTTCTCCCCAGAACAGCAGTGGCTCCTGTTAAGGACTGCTGCTCCATTGCTCTCGAGGTTTGAGGTTGTTAAAAAGAATGTTCTGATGAGCCCCTTTGCTTGCTCTGTCTTTCTGCGTTTTGAAAATTACATCTGTAGAGAAAGTTCCTACCCGTGGAATTTCCAAGTCCAAGCTTAGGGACCCTGAATTCTGAGACATGCCGCCAACTTGGCCTCCTGAAATGAGTGCCCGTTTACCTGCCCACCCACCAGAGTGCCTGTGGGGGCCTGCGTGTCTCCCCAGCACTGGGCGCTCCCAGGCTTATTAGGGTGTGCCGTCTGGAAGCAGCAGAAGCTCCCTTGCTCTAATTCTGGTTCCCGCCTGATGCCACAGCTTAACTGGCTGCCCCAGGCCCCTCAGAGCATCCTTTCTGTCTCCAGAGAGCACTCCTGCCTGGGTAGCACTGACAGGTGAAGAGGCCGGGGGGCCGGACACCAGGGTTCTGGCCCTGACTGGCTGCTGCCTGCTGAGGACCTGGGCCGAGCTCTGGGTCTTGCCGGCTCAGCTCTGAAGACACTGGAAAGTTTTAATCGAGCCCATGGTTCTTCCTGGCAAAGTGCTGAAAGGTTTTTGACCACGACTGGAAATAAGGATACCACAGTGACCGGCACCTTGTGGAAAAGTTTCACACACAAAAAAACCAACCACACAGGGCTTCCCTAGTGGCGCAGTGGTTAAGAACCCGCCTGCCAATGCAGGGGACACGGGTTCGAGCCCTGGTCCGGGAAGATCCTACATGCCGCAGAGCAACTAAGCCCGTGAGCCACAACTACTGAGCCCGCGTGCCACAACTACTGAAGCCCGCGCACCTAGAGCCCGTGCTCCACAACGAGAGAAGCCACTGCAATGAGAAGCCCACACACCGCAACGAATAGCAGACCCCGCTCACCGCAACTAGAGAAAGCCCGCGCACAGCAACGAAGACCCAACGCAACCAAAATAAATAAAAAATAATAAATTAATTAAAAACAAAACAAACAACAAAAAAACCCAACCACACAGACAACAAACAGTACTCCCCCCCATGCAGTGTACGCTGCGATTTTTCACTTTATTTTTAAAAATGCTGGTCCCGAGAACTGGCATGTCTCTGTTCTCCCTCAGAGGCCCCTAGGAGTTATGGAGATGCATCCTGGGGCTGGGATTCCCTGAGGCCTCAGAGACCTGGAGAACATCCTCTGCGCACCGTGTGCTAGAGTCAGGGCTGAGGCTGGGTCACGCAGGGGAGGCTGACTTGACCTTCACAGCTCTCCGGGCCTTCTCCCCTTAGGCTGCTCTAGACCCGTGTCCCCGTGTGTGGGTCACACAGTCCCGTTCAACCCAGAGTGCGGGCCGGGCCCTTTTTGGCTGTCACCCTGTCATTGTCACGCGCTGGGGCGAGGGGCACGAGAGCAGTGTGGGACCCCAAAGGAGGGCCTGGGAAGCCCTGCCGCCCCACAGAGCTTCTGTGGAGGGTCCTTCCTCCCCACCCTCTGCCTCCTAACTTTCTTTCTTGCCTCTAAGGGTGGTCCTCCTCTAATTATAGTACCTGCCTGGCCTAATTATAGCCTGGGCTAATTTGTTAATGGCTTTGGGAACTGAGAGCCCTTGCCTTGGGCAGGATCACGGCCCCTGGGTACATGCAAGGAAGTGTTGCCAGGGAGCACTGGATGAAGGGATGAGAGTGGCCTTTGAGGCCCATGGGGGGCGGCGTGGGCCCCCTGGGGAGCCCCATGTCCAGCTGGTGCACGCAGGGCCCTGACCAATGCTGCCTCTGTCCACGAGTTGTCAGGGTGGGTCTCTCCCCTTCCCAGGGGTCCCAGGAGGCCCTGATGCGCGGCACCCGGCAGGGCCTTGCCATTTTCATTCTATTTAAACAAATGGTCCTTAATTAAATGCCTTTAAATTGAAAAATACTTTTGGTTTTCCTCTCCATGAAAGCAATGTCTGTTTGCAATAGAAGCATCAGGAAATGCACAAAAGGGAAAAAAGGCCGTTCATGACCCCACCCCAGTGACTTATGACCCCAAATGTGTTTACTTTTGGTCGAGGAGTCTCATGACTGGTCCCTCTGCTCTTGTTTGACTCATTATATTGTCCCCGCAGGGAAGTCCCACCTGGCCATTGTGCAGAAGGTGAACAACGAGGGCGAAGGTGACCCCTTCTACGAGGTGCTGGGCCTGGTCACCCTGGAGGACGTCATCGAGGAGATCATCAAGTCCGAGATCCTGGACGAGTCTGATATGTACAGTGAGTCCCCTTCCCACCCTGCCCTGCTCTGCTCTGCTCAGACTGGCACCTGCTGTCCCCAGGTGGGAAGGCCGCCGTGGGGACGGGAGGCTGGGCACCAACCAGGGCTGCTCGGAGCATCCGCAGGAGCCACCTTCCTTCCTCCCAGCATTTGTGTCTCAGCGCAGACACTGCTGCTTCTGCTTCCGGTGGAAGAAGGGCCCACGGAGCTGGGAGTTGGTGGGTGGGTACCAGTCTGTTCCCCAGTCCTTGGGGGATGCTGTTCTCAGTTCCAGATTCCTTCTCTTGCAGCTGACAACCGAAGCCGGAAACGGGTATCTGAGAAGAACAAACGAGACTTCTCAGCCTTCAAGGATGCTGACAATGGACTCACGGTGAAAATTTCACCTCAGCTACTTCTGGCTGCTCATCGCTTCCTGTCCACGGGTAAGAGCATGCGGGGGCCTTCGGGTGTCGGTGGGATACAGCCCCGGAGGGAGACGTGCTGGGCCTCTGGTTACTCCTCCCCAGGGGACAAGGGCTACAGCAGATGAAGGGCCTGGGGCACGTGCGGCTGCCTCTGGAAGGGGGCGAGGTGTTTTCCTTCCATCCCCACCGAAGATCCTTGCGGTTTGTTTTCCCCGTTAATGGGTTGCTGCTACAAACTTCCAGGAACCATCCGGGTTTGTTTTGGCTATTTTGTGCTGGGAGAACCTGAGGTGGGCACCGGGCTCCCCGTTGAGGAGGGAGAAGGAGGCCCTTCCATATGCCCCCTCCTCCTGGGTGCAGCCCACAGCCCTGCATGCTCATCCTCTCTGAGCGTCTGGATCCAGCTCCCTTCTCATCTCTCTGCCTCCCCTCCGCCTGCATCTGCTGGGCCCCTTGGGACCTGACTTCTAGGTCAATGACTTTTCTCTCTTCTCACCCCTGACTCAAAGCTCCCTTGGAGACACGGGTGATTGATTAGGAAAACGCCCGCCTGCTCTGTCCTCTCCCCTCAGTCTGACTTCCTTCCCAGCCCTCACTTGCTAAAGCTGTGATCCTTCCCTCTCCTGTGCTTTTCCTGCCGGGCTATTGATGATGTGGATACTGACAGTAGTGATAGTCACGTTTATTAGGCACTTCGCATGTGGCAAGCGTGTGTCTAAGTGTCCTACATCTGTTATCCCATTTCACCAAACAGCGACCTCATGAAGTTTTAAATCCCCATTTTACAGATGAGGAAACTGAGGCACGGGTGAAGGACTTTGCCTGAGGTCATGTTTTATTAGTGCAGGAGCCACTGTCCAGGCCCAACCGGTGACAGACTTGCATGTACCGAGGCCGGAGCCAAGGTCATGCCCTCCGGGGAGGCAGGGCCAGGCAGTGAGGAGCCGTCCAGCACAGCAGTGACCATGTTCCAGGCACTGCCCTGCCCAGCCTGGCCTCATGTGAAATCCTCCTCTCTCCTCCTCCAGAGGTTCCCCAGTTCAGCCCCTCTCTGATATCGGAGAAGATCCTGCTGCGGCTGCTCAAGTACCCAGACGTCATTCAGGAGCTCAAGTTCGATGAGCACAACAAGCACTACGTCCGCCATTACCTGTACACCCGCAACAAGCCGGCTGACTACTTTATCCTCGTCCTGCAGGTGTGCCTGCCCCGCCCCGTCCTCCTTGCCCGCGCCGCCCTCTCACCTGCTTTCCTGCCCTTGAGCCGCTGCTCCCCGTTGCCTGTCCTCCGCCTGCAAGGCCGCCGTTGAGCCCCCGGGTCTCCAGGGCTCTGGAACTAGCTCCTCCACGGGGCCCACAGCCCTGTTCACTCCTCGCGTCTCCCTCGTGCCTCAGGCTTTTTCTTCCCAGGTGTTTTTTCCTTCTCAACTCTGTTTGTAACCCTAACCCGTGTTCTTTCAGGGGAAGGTGGAGGTGGAGGCCGGGAAGGAGAACATGAAGTTTGAGACGGGCGCCTTCTCGTACTACGGGACCATGGCCCTGTCCTCGTCCCCCTCTGGTGAGTCTCTGGGCCATGTCTGGGCCGCCCTCCAGCACTCCTGGATGGGGAGAGACTCGGACTGGTCCCCCAGAACCTAGGGCCGCCTAGAAGGGTCATAACCCAGGTGGCTCGGGGGAGAGGAGGCCAGCGAGGGCCAGAGCTGCCAGGGCCTCAAGGAAGTGGCCTGGAAGAGCAGTGACTCGCCCCTTGGGACCAGGTTCAGAGGGTGGAGGGAAGAGATGAGGGGATTCTGACGAGAGCCCGGAGGGAGCTGAGAGTGTGTTCTGAGGTGGTGAGACCAGCCCACCAGGAGATGAGGAAGAGGTTGGATATGAGTCAGGGAGCCGCAGGAAGTTGATGGCATTTGCTTGCGACACGAAGCAGGAGGCCATTAGTGGCCCTTGAGCAGGGGTTCCTGTGACAGCAGAGTGGACCAACTGGGCAAGTGGGCCACAGTGGCCCTCCTTAGCCATGACGGCGGGAGGCCAGTTGAGAGGGAGGCAGGTGGAGGGAGGCTGCAGGGCCTCACTTGTGAAGACTGGGCCAGGGGAGTCAGGGTGGGGGAAGAGGGCCCATAGCTCCCATGTTTGGAGGCCAGGCCAGGGCCTGTTTTTCGGCCGCGCAGTTTGCAGATGGCTTCGGCTTTTCAGGGGGCTGAGCCACTGCCTTTTGGTTAAGGGGCCGTTCTCTGATGGAGTAAAGGGACCTGGGGGCAAAGAAAGGACTGGAAAGCCTCTGAGAAGGGCCACTGGCCACCCCGGCGCCCTCTGCTTCTCCGGTCCTGGGTGGCTCAGGCTCCCCTTGCTGGAGGGGGTGCCCTGCAGACAAGGCCCAAGTCTCGCCTGGCTCAGCTCCTCACCAGTTGTGTGACCCCTCCGGCCCCAGGTTGCTGCGGGCTGGAGAGTGAAAGTCTGCTTTGGTGCTGGGGATAGGCACATGGTGAGGGGGCTGCTGCAGCTCCTGGGGAGCCTCCATGCTGTGCCTGTTACTGTCCTTTGACAAAGAGGACCCCTGTGTGGGGGGCTGGGCACCCATGCATACTGACACAGCTCAGCTCCTTCACCAGTGTGAGCAGGCTCCTGGGGGAGGGGAGTGGGAAACAAGGCTGCACAGCTGGGTTTTGGAACAGGTGGCCCCTGCCCAGGTGCCTCAGGCCTGGGGAGGACTTCTCTGCCCCTCCTGAGAGCACCTCTTGTGGTCCAGCTTGGGGAAATCTTGTGCAGCAGGGCACACAGTCACGGGATGTCCCTCCAAGCACCCTTTCTCTGCAGCCATGCCTCAGAGCCTGGTTAGGGTCCTGGGCTCTGTCTTTTGATGTGGAGGCCCCAGGTTCCCACTTGCAGTGGCTGGAAGGGAGGGGAGATGACTTCCGGGGGCTCTGGGCACACTCCACCAGCTTCTGCCCTTCTCTGATCAGGGCTCTGGTCAGCTCTGAGCACCCTCCCCGTCAGGGCCGGGTCCCCTTTACTGTTGTGCCCCCTCTCTGCTCGAGGGAACCTGGCCCCCAGCAAGTCTGCTTCTCCATCCTGTTCCTATGGCTCCACGTCCACCCCACCCATCACCCATCACCCTTCCACCCTGGTCAGGTGTCCGCCTAGCAAGCAGAACTCCCTGCTCTCCCGGCTCTCAGGTAACATGGCATGGCTGGAGAATTTGCACTGCCACCTGCCGCCTGAGCCCTCACACTGCAGCTGCATTAACCGCTCCCAGCAGGCACTGGGGGCCCCGCCCCCGCCCAGCACCTGTGCCATCCCACCTGTTCACACTTGTGGGCCAGCCTGACCAGTGCTAGCTGTGCTTGGCCTGGGGCCCAATTACTATGTGCCTTTGCCCAGGTCCTGGAAGGGTTTCCCCAGAGGTCCTTCAGTCTTTGAGAAGAGACACACATGCCCGCAGGTGACAGGCTGGGAGTGGAGGGTGGCTCCCGGCCAGGCCAAGTGAGCCCAGCTGCTCAGGGCCACTCACAGGCCTCAGCAGGATGACTTGTCACCCCATCAGCTTTCTCTAAAAAACTTTCCAGCTTTCCTCACAGGCTTTGGTTTTCATTCTTTGGCTGCTGGTTCCACCTGCCAGGGGGAGGCAGCAGCTGGGTGGTTAGAAGTGTGGCCGCAGTCATACTGCCCTGGTTGAATGGGGTCTCCGTAGACACCAGCTAAATGATTCCGGGAGCTGACTTACCTTTTCTAAGTCTTCGTTTCCCCCTGTGAAATGGGAGCAATACATGTGCCCACTTCTTAGCATTGTTGGCAGCAGTGAGAGAATTGATATAAAATGTTTAGTTAGAGCTCCAGTTACTGTTTGTTTTTTCTCTATTACAACCAAAATGTGACATTCCAATCAGAAAGTGTTTAGAGAAATTCCAAAAGCCACAGAAACATGCTGTTTCTGGCCTTTGATATGTCACACTCCCGAGCCTTGTCCCAGGGTCGGTGGGAACTGTGTTGGCCCCAGAATCACTCAGTTCGAGGGACTCCTATCCCATGTATACTGCGGCGGCAGAGGTCCTGATGTCAGGATTCTGGCCTGGGCTGCTGAGCCCGGAGGAGAAGAGCATCACGAGTGTCTTTGAGCCCCGGTCTCAGCGCATAACTTAGAGAAGGTCCCTGGGTCCCAGCAGTGCTAAAAACCTATCACTTCAGCCAACTGTTTCCCCTATTCTGTTTGTACAGCTGGGGTTTTTTCCATCATAAATGTACAAAAACACACTTTTTAAAATTGATCCTCTTTAAAAAAAAGAAAAAGTGAAAAGGTGATTTAGAAGTCACTTGTCCCGTTCAAACACAGCCAACTTTTGGCAGTGATGGGAAGTACGAAGCAATTAGTGGCCTTTGAGCAGGGGGCTGTCTGATGAGAACAGAATGGGCCATGTCAGCCCTCACTGGCCAACCCCTCAGCCTCACTCTCATCTTCCTCTCTTGCTTCTGTCTCATAGATGGCCGGGAGTCGATGCCTACATGGTTTGAATCCTGAGGTCTTTACCTAATGTGGGAACCGAGACACTTTTCCATAAGCTTTCTAGTTAGAGCCACACAGGGTTTCACCAAGCAGGTGTGCCTTCATTTGGTTTTTTCCCCCTTATGCATATTCATGGGGGTCTATATTCTAAGTATAACAGCATGATGTAAACCTCTTTACGGAAAAACTTCTTACGTACTTAAGATTATGTCCTGAGAATATTCTTCCAGAAATGGACTTACCGAGTCAAACCCCCTGTTTTTTTGTTTTGTGTTGTTTCATTTTAATCATAAAAGTAACACAGCTTATTTAGAAAATTGGGAAGGTGGAAAAAAAATCTTAAGAAAATTAAGAAGCATCATAATTTCATTATTCAGAAACAAACACTTCATATTTTGTTAGATTTCTAGACCTCTGTTTTTAATAGGCCATGTGACTAATTTATGTTGGTTTAAATTCAGTTCCTGTTCCTGGAGTGTTAATAAGCATTAATTAAAAGCATTCTATCATCCAAATAATTAATGTTAAATATTAAGCAATATCCCTAGTGTTTCTGGTCTTTGCTAGAACTTAATCAGAGGTGTTGCTTAAGTTAGAATGAGTGATACATGCACATGGTCCTCTAGTGGTTGTATACCACGTAATCATAGAATATCCAGACTGTATTTTCCTAGTTTTACGAATGAAACTCAAACGTAGCGTATTACTCAATTCAGTCGCACTTGGTTCAGCCACCCAGATTCAATGGTTGCTCTTTTCACTGGTCTGTTTGTTAGAATAGCAAGCTCAGTAGTTAGTAACTAGTTAACTAAGCAAATCAGCTTAGTCCACTTCCTGTTTGTTTAAAACAAGCCAGTATGCCTCCACAATTAACTTCTTGGTGCATTTCATTGTTTTCTGAGTGTTCCCAAAAATACGAGCTAATGATGTACAATAATGTGTGTGCCCTTCCTTTTCCAAAATAAGGAGCTGGTTCCTTCCTCGCTGGAGGTTGAGCCATTCCCCTTTCCTGGTTTCAGTCGACCGAATGGAGGCCTGTGCTTCCCCTAGTGGCGGGAAGAGGCACTGCCACCGCTACCCCAGGCTCTGCCTCATGGGAGGGGGACTGGGACCCAGCCCCCAGACACCCCAGAGTGGGAAGCCTGGAGCTCTGGGGCCTCTAGGTTCCTCTGAGAGGAATCTGCTGTACTCCACCCCCCTGCCAGACTGGCTGGGCTCAGCAGACACAGGGCAGGACTGTTCCACACACAACAGGTTACGTGCAGAACACACTTTTGAGCTCTTACGAGCATTTTGAGATGTGAGCAGGGTGTCATGTTGGGGGGTGTATGACGTGTGGTGAGAGAGTGCAAACTGTAGGTTCTTCCTTTTCATATAATTTAAATGTATGCAGTTTGGGCTTCCCTGGTGGCGCAGTGGTTGAGAGTCCGCCTGCCGATGCAGGGGACACGGGTTCGTGCCCCGGTCCGGGAAGATCCCACATGCCGCGGAGTGGCTGGGCCCGTGAGCCATGGCCGCTGAGCCTGCGCGTCCGGAGCCTGTGCTCCGCAGCGGGAGAGGCCACAACAGTGAGAGGCCCGCATACCGCAAAAAAAAAAGAAAGTATGCAGTTTATGTCCCTTGACAGAAGCTGTCATCGAGACAGGGACAGTGGCTCCTCTGCCATGCTCGGGTCATCATCGTGTCGCCCTTGCCTGATCAGCTGTTGGGGAAATGAGGGGTTTTGTAGCCATAAACTTTCTGTGTCTCTGGTTTTTGTTCTCTGTTTTGTTCATCTGTTTGGGTAGACTTTTTAATACTTACTGCACCACAGTCCTAAATAAACTAGCTCATTGGCGTAGATGAGGTCCGACCTTCTGCAGGCAGAGCTTCCGTTCGTTTGTGCCCGAGATCTACCTCCCGCTGCCGGCGGGGGCACCACTGCCCGGGTGTCCGTGGACAAGGTTGGACGGGAGGCTGTGAGGGGCACCAGGCTGGCCCCCGGCCTGACAGCCTCTCTCCCTCCACAGACCGCTCCCCATCCCACCCCGCACCCCTCAGCCGCTCGGCCTCCCTCAGCTACCCGGACCGCTCAGAAACGGCGTCGAGCACAGCCCCCTTGGCAGGCAGCAGCAACCAGTTCGGCAGCTCCATCCTGGGCCAGTACACCTCCGACTTCAGCGTCCGGGCGCTCATGGACCTCCAGTACATTAAGGTGAGCACTCCCCATGGCCCTCTTCCCAGGCAGCACCATCCTCCTCATCCTGGGCGTCTGGATCACTCTGCCTCTGACCGGCAGCTTCTTTCTTTGATCCACCATACCCAGCACGGAGGGCCCGGGATGCGTGTCCCTCCTGCTCTAGCTCCTCACTCTTTGGTCACCGCCCCGCCCCGCCCCCTGGGTCACGCCCTCTCTCCTGGACTTGCAGCCTCCCTCCTGGCTGCCTCCTGGCTGTTTCTCCGGGTCTCCTGTAGGGTTGGCCCCCCCAGCCCTGCTGTCGGTGAACCAGGCCGTCCCGCTTCCCCCTGCAGATCACCCGGCAACAGTACCAGAATGGGCTGCTGGCCTCACGCATGGAGAACTGCCCCCAGTTCCCCCCGGATGGGTGCACCATCTGTGCCGAGAACTTGACCGACAAGTCCGAGCTGCCCCTGGTGGACGAGACCACGACTCTCCTGAATGAGCGCAACTCCTTGCTGCACAGAGCCTCCCTCGAGGGCGCCGTCTGACGGGAGGGCCCGGGGTCCCCCGCCAGCCCCGCGGGGGCCTCCCCAGTGGGCCCACACGAAGACAGGGAGCCTGTTAGGCCAGAAGGGGTACAGATAGCCTGTCTGACTGAGCAGCCAGATGGCCGCCGACCCGAGGGGGATCTGGCCTCCGACAGGGACCTCTGAACAGCTCCGAGCTGGCGGCTGCCCACCCTGGACTGTGGGGCAATGGGCCGGCGACCAGGAGCGCTTCTAAACTAGGCTCATCTCACCACTTTTTAATACCATATGGGGAAGGGAAGACAGGGTTAAGGAACTTTATTTAAAGACAATTTTTTTTTTTCCCACAAAAACTTTAAAAGGGGTAGGGTTTCTCACCCCGGGAAGCAATAGCCATAATCTGCTCCCAGCCGTGGCCTTTTTGGCTGTGTCCCTGACTCAGGAAGCCTACTCTTTCTGCTTCCCCGTCGCCTCCTCCAGAGATGGCATCCCACGGGCCTGCTGGAGGAAGGTTTTCTCTTGGGAGGGAAGAAAGTTCTTCCCAGGAAGCAAAGAACCAAATAGTGCTGAGAACAAGTGCCCGGACACGCGCTGAGGCTCGCCTGGTGTCACCGAGGCCGAGGGATTCTGGGAACTGTGATCAGGGACGTGACACTCGCAACTGCGGAGAGGAGCACACCTCCTCCTGGTAATCGCTGGACCCAGGAATCTCCTAGAACTCTGCTGATGGGCTCTCCTGGTGAGTTGGGCTCCGCTGAGGACTCTCGCCCCGTCCCTCATATCTGCCCCTCTGGACAACTCTCCCCTTGTAATGGGGCTGAGTCCAAGTGTTAGGCAGGGTCTCACACCTTTAAGATTGCTAACCCTTGCTCCCCAGGCCCTGACCTCACTTTCACCAAAGGTTTTCCCCAGGCTGGGGGAGCGACTGCATTAGAGGGGACTTGTCTGCGATACTCCTTTCGGGGCCAGGAGGGAACCTGGTCATGGGCATCTACGTCGTTAGCAATTCGTTCCATCCCCCTTCCCACCCCACAGTGAAAGTCAGGTCTCAGTCACTGACCCACCAAGCCCTTCTTTCCGGACTCCCGGTTACTAATCCAAAACCCCAGTGCCTCTTGGGGATTGAGGACAAGAGGACGTTGTAGGAAGCCAACCTAAGCAGGTCCTTCATGCCCTTTCCTCTGTGGCTGAGGCTCACCTGGCTTTGTTCACGCACTTACAGATCCAACTCAAAAGCACACAGCTGGCAGCCCCGTCTTCCCCACGTGTGTGTTATCCTAGTGTGAGATGTCGTGCTGGCCTTTGCTGAAGCTCGTGGTCCTGGGCGCTCAGAGCCCCAGCCCCACGTGCAGTCCTGCCCCAGCACCTTTTCCCTGTGCTGCAGGCTTCCCGCCATTGGGGAGGCTGTAGGACCAAGGTCCACAGTGGCCCTTTGGTTGGGTGGAACAGTTGCTGGGGGGGCGGGTGGGCCCAAGATCAGGCAAGGGAGACTCCACAGGCCTTCCTGAGTGTTATCTATTCACTCCTTTCCTCAGCCTGTGAGTCCTGTTATCCCAAGTGCTCTGTTGGGGACCAGGAAATGTCTTGCACCAAGTATACTGGCCCCTGGTGATTTTAAAGTCCTTCCAGACACAGAATTGATTCCTACAAGTCTGCAGAGAAGGTGGTGACAGCCATGGGTTCTCAAGCCATAAGGAAAAAAGACACCAGACCTTTGTCCCCCGTTGGGGCCTGAAAACCCCTTAGTTTTCTCCAGGAACAGCTTGCTTTCCGAGTTCACACAGGGGCTCGCAGAGCTGTGTCCCTGGGACCTGAGTGCCAGGTGGAGCAGACTCGGCCTGAACCGAGTGTGTGTGAAGCCAAAGGAGCAGGTGCACACACTTCCACGGCTACCTCTTTGCACGCACAGTTACTTTCAAGAGATGGTCCCGCCTCCCCTCCTCTTCCCGTCCCCATTTATAATCACTTTGTGCAGAGGGTCATGATTATTTCCACATATTACTGGTCCGATGACTTCCTCCTCCCAGTGCAATTTTTCACCTCCTATTCCAATCTCTGGTTCCTGGGCTGAGCAGTACCCTGACCTGGCCCAGCCCTGCGTGTCTTCCCGTGGAAGGGAGACCTTCGCAAACGGCCCCTGGATGGGTAGGCGAGTTACAGCCACCGTAGCAAATAACTCATATTTATTTTGCATAAGATTTTAATTTGTATATTTTTGTGATTTATTTTGGCATTGTTATGAGTTCGACTCTCGGGGAGTTTTGTTGTTATGACTCTTGTGTCTTTTGTCACAAAACAATGATAATATTTGCTAAACGATATATGGAATTTATTTTTGATTGGTAATAAAAAAAGAAATATGTATAAATCTTGGTGAGTTTACAGTTGGCCTGTTTGAGTTCTGTCGATACTCGGTACCGGTCATAGAGCTAGAAGTGGCTGTGCCTGGCTGTCACCTATGACAGGGCAAGGGGCCAGCATTCTGGGACTGTTTAGCAGTAAAAAGGAAGCAGAAATGTAATTTACAAAAATATATATAATCAAGGCTGTTGTCACAGGAGCTAGAGAGTGCCAGCTGCTGCTAGACAGGGCAAGTGTGCTCAACTGCCACCCTTAGGAATCCAGTAAAATGGACACCAGAGGGTTGGGGGCAGCTGGGATGGGCAGATTGCCCCTCCTCTCTCCCCTGGGGGCTGAAGGAGAAAGGAGCTTGATCCAAAAGTATGATCACATTGTCTTATAGCAGCAGGTGCCTCTCAGTCCATACTCAGGGGCTGGTTGTGGTTTCACAGTTGGAGCGCTCACCGCTGGAGAGCCCGCCTGAGAAGGACCTCACTGTATCCGCTCCCGAGGCTTCAGCCAGGCAGACTCCTGCCCACAGGTGCCTCGGCCTGTGTGTGCAGTCGAGTGCACCCAGGCCAGGGGCTCAAGCAAGCCTGGCTTGACAGGGCCAACTCCGGCGGGGGGGGGGGGGATGTTTAAAAAAAGGGAGGCGCTGGGTAGGCAGAAAGGAAAGAGGACATTTCAGATAAAAGGAATAACAAATGCAAAGTCTTGTGCATAGGTGGGCAACAATAAATTTCATTCATCCATCTGTTCCGCACATGTTTAAGCCCTTGCTACATGCCAGGTGCCACCAACCCCTCAGGCTGTCTTCTCCGCCTGTAACTTCCTCCCAGGTCTTTGTGAGGCCCAGCCCCTTGCTTCATCTAAGCCTCTGTTCAAATGCTGCTTCCTTGAAGAAGGCTTCCCCCATCACCCCATCCAAAAGAGCTTGGCCCCAGTCCCTCTGTCCGTCTCCTTGTATTGCCATGTTATTCTCCATAGCACTTATTGTCAGATATTAAAATACGGATTTGTATATTTTCTGTTGTCCTCACACTAGAACTTAACCTCCAGCAGGTCAGGGTCTTTCTCATTTCCACTGCAGTCCCAGCACTAGGACAGTACCGGTACATTGCAGGCACTGGATGCAGGAAATACTTGTTGAATGAATGAATGGGTCTTACAAGAAGGTGAGTACTGGATGCTATTGGAGGGGAGCACAATGCTCCCATAACCTTGACCCAATCTAGTCAAGATGGTTGAGGAAAACCAGCTGGAGGAAGTGACGTTTGCAGACTTGAGAAGAAGGAATTAGCCAGGGGTCACACACAATAGTTATGGGTTTGAAACTCAAGAATACTAGATAAAACATGGAAATGTCTTGAACCAAATGATCAGAAAGGAAAAATCGCCCGTGGGGGAACTGAATGCCTGGTGACAAGTGTCTCCACTGATGCTGTGATGATGGGCCAAAGAGTAACTCAGAGCCAAGGAAGAAAGAAGCTGGCAAAGTAGTGTTGGGGCCTCTATTGTTCACAGAAAGTCACTTGTGAGCAGTTTTGTTTGCTCTGTACCAGGTCCTTTGTCTTTGGGTCTCACAGTTTAACTCACTATTTGTGTTTTCCAAGCGTGATCCAACTGTTTTTCTACTCAAAGGTTTCCCCCCTCCCAAATAAGTTACAGGTTGTTTTCCAAGGGAGCACAAGACCAGAGGAAAAGTAACTTGTCAAAAGTCAGAGCCCTGTCTAGATATACCGAGTGTTCTCCCCATCTTACCTCTGGAACTGGTCTTTGCTAGTGAACTTTTCAGGCACATGACTCATTTCAAGCCTGTTGTCCATTCTGTCTCAGTGTCAGCATTTTATCTGGACTTGGAGACAGAAGTGTGAACCAAAGGGGTTGAGTCTACTACTATTATTTTTTTTTCAAAAGAGGCATGCCAGCCCAGTGGAAAGGCTCAGTAGTCATTATTGCTTCTGCTGGCGGCTTATTCTGGAACTTTTCACACAATATTTCTGCCAGTCACTCGCCACGGGCTTATTCATTCTTGCACATTACCTTCCACACAGACGTATTTTACTTAATTGCAGCCACAGTGCCTAAACTGTTGTTTAAAGTGTTTTCATGACACAGCACATGAATTTCTATAGAATCCTTGTAAAGACCATTTTAAATGACATGTACATGGACGGCCTTACGAAAGTCTATGTATGTTAGGAGATTTGAAAATACATAAAAATGTAAAGAAAATAACAAAAAAACCCATTTCATCTGGACTCCTATAGAGAAGTCTTGTTAGCAGGTTGTCTATTTCCTTCCAACCAGGTAAAGTTCACATATAATAGGTTGAAGAACATTCCACACTGCCAAGGACCACACAGTCTTTGGGAGGATTCTCTTGAATAGTTCTTGTTGGTCTTTAGGAATTATTTTCCCAAGGATGATCTGCTAGAAGTGGAGTGACCAGATACTGTACAGTAATTCCTGACAGAGCTGCCATCTCCTAATGTGGCTGGGATGGCGAACAGGATATTAGGCCGGTCGCGTTGAAACCCAACATCCGTGCCTGAGTCGTGCTTCACTTTTCTCCGGTAAAATATATTCATAACATGTAGTAGCTGTGAGGATCCAATGAGGTAGTGATTTCGTGCGTGTACGTATTCACCATCGTTCTCCCTGGCGGGAATGCAAGTTCCTTTAAGGCAGGGGCTGTGTGTCACGTCCCAGACCTATAGCAGAATCGGGTGCGATCAAGAAACACTTTCAATAAACCTTGGCTTCCGATGCCCAGTCACCGGTTCTTTCAGCCCTCCTCGCCCTTTAGGTCGGTGGTTCAGGGGGTCCCTTTCTGAGAAAACGGCCCATCTCCGTTGGCTGAATTCTCTGCCTGCAATTTCAGGAGCGCCGCTCCGCTCTGCGGCCCGAGTCCCGAGCGAGGGACTTCCCAAAGCACGGGCCCAGCCTCCCGGTGAGCGGCGACTGCCGGTGAGAACCAGACGCCCGCGGAGGGGGGCCAGTTCGCCGCTCCGCGCCCTCCGGACGCCAGCCCCAGCCCCGGGAGTCGCGGCCGAGCCCCGCGGGGCCGAGAGCCCCACGCCCCCGACCCGCCCCGGGATCGCGCCGCAGCTTGTTTACTCCCCGGCGCAGCCTAGTCCGACCCTGGGGCCCGCCCCCGCCCGCCGCCTATTGGCGGAAGAGGCGCCAGGGCTGGCGACGATTGGCTCGGGGGAGGCGGAGGGGTAGGCTGCGCGGGAGGCCGAGAGGGGGCAGCAGGCGATGGCGGCGGCGGCGGCGGCGGCGGGTCGGCTAGGCTGGTTGCTCGCCGCGCTCTGCCTGGGCAACGCCGCCGGGGAGGCGGCGTCGGGCCCGCGAGTGCTGGGTGTCTGTCTGGAGGAGGACGGAGCGGCGGGCGCGGGGTGGGCGCGCGGAGGGGAGATGCGGACCGCTCCGGAGGCCACCTTCCGCCTGCGCCTCTTCGGCTCGGGCTTCGCCAACAGCTCCTGTTCCTGGGTGGCCCCTG